CGGGTCTACTCTACATGCTAGGGTCCATGCTGTGTTTGAGCATGCGGAATATGGGAGCAGAGGGGCACCTGGGTGGCTCAGTCTGTTAAGAGACTGGGTCTTGATCTCGGCTCAGGTCACGATCGCATAGGTTCATGGGTTCGAGCCCTGACAGTGAGGAGGCTTTTTGGAATTTTCTCTCTCCTTCTCTCTCTCCTTCTCTCTCTCCCTCCCTCTCCCTCTCCCTCCCTCCTTCTCTCTCTCTCAAAAATAAGTAAACTTAAAAAAAAGAATATGGGAGCAGAGACATTGTCGCTAGTTCCCTAAACCTCCCCAGTCTCTCAGACCCTATGCCCTTGTGTTGGTGTGGCCAGAAGTGTGTGGTTGTAGGTTTCCTGAAAGGGAGAGAGAACACTGGATTTCGGGGCTGCCAAGGAGAAATGTATCCTACTATGTTTTTTTTTTTTTTACTTTCCTCAATTGTATCTCATTTATTAAAACTGTGGTTAAAAGGCTAACAAAATTATATACTCTGGGTGCCCTGACATCAATGACAGTAAACTACCACTTGAGGCAAGAGGCAAAAACAATAAAGACCACTCTGCTCATTGTGTGTGTGTGTGTTTTTTTTCTTTTTTTCTTTTCTCAGAGCTAAACCGACTTGAAAAAGAAGACTGCTTTTCTCCTAACACCACTGGTTTCCTGATCTCATTGTGGACATCCCAGAGTGGCCGGGAATGAGGTCAGAATTCAGGGTGGGTGATGAAGGAATTTTCCAACAAATAAAACAAGACCCAGCACTGGCCTCCGTCCAAGGGGAATATCCAAGACAGTATGGCCTATGTGGTCCTTTTTTCCCCTCTCATGATATGGTTTCTGAAGGAGGGAAAAGGTTGTGTGGTTAAGAAACAAACAGCCAACAGTGCCCACCCCTCCAGAAGCAACGGTATATTTGAAGATTTTTAAAACATCAGGGAGAGATCATCAGGATTTCTGAGGGAGAGATGATTGTTGCCTGTCATACGCATATCTACCTGCACACGGTTCCACATTTTTACTACAAATGTCCACAAGGGGATGTGAGGACGGGGCTATATGACTGGGGAGGGGGCACCCTAATCAGGGACACTAGCAACTTGGCACGAATTCTTGCTAGGGAGTCATTGGTACTTTAAAAAAGACAGATTTTTCTTAGAGGTCCAGCAAGAGGAGCGGGGAACACCCAGTGTCAGAGGTCAGGGGGGACGATAAGGGAAGGGAAATGGAACACACACAGCAAGGGCACAACCCAAGCAAAGCCAGATGGACTTCCCGTGGGCAGAGCCCGGAAGACTGGATGCCAAGTTGAGAAGGTCAGTGGCTGCTCAGACGGCATTTGCAACCAGAAGTCAATGAGTTTGGATGGGAGGCCAACAGAGTGGTTCAGCCACTCCAGAGAACGACAGAATCCCACCAGAATCCTTCCACCCCACACGTAGGAGTGCCACTGCCAAGATTAAACCAGCCAAGGACAGGAGTGTAGTGACAGGATGTGCTGGTGAGCGAGTCAGGGGGATAGTCTTCAATTAAGAAACTTCCCTTATGTTTATGCCCTTGGAAATCCACAGACGCAAAAAGCAAGACCCTTGTTCAGTAAAAACCTTCAGTCCGGTGGCAACCACTGTTCTGGGCCTGGGGTCAGGCTTGAAATCACTTTAAGAGCCTAAAAGTTGGAAGTAAAGGAAGGACAGGATAGAGAGAACCTTGAAGTCAAAAATTACAGCTGCCTTAATACATAGATGCTTCTGAAAATGCTAATGACGTCCTGAAATCCAGCAGAGGAAAGACTGTTTCCCAACATTTTGGATTGCGGAAGGAGAGGGGAGGGATTGTTATACTAGAGGCTGTGCCCAAGAAGGGCTTGGGGGTGAGTAGCAGCAGAGTGGGACAGAGAGTGTGGGACCAGAGAGGGTCAGCACCCTCGGAGGCTCAGCCTGGGCACCTCTCTTCCCTCACCCGCGGGAGAACTTACACATTTTGCCTGAATGGAACCGAAACAGGCTGCAGACAGCACCTTTCTGAGCTGCTGTGCCATTTGGAGATGAGTGTTGCTCTCCCTGCCCAGGCCCTGGTCCTGAGCTTCCAGATTTGTCTTCCAAAACACACAGTGGGTGAAGTTCCCATGGGTTTGCGCCTCCCAGCAGCTCCCTCCTTTTCTTTGCTGCTGGCGAATGCAGAATGGTGGTGCATTTATGAAGTGGTAACCATGATTCAACTCTTACCCCCCTTCTCTTTTTCTCCCTGTCTCTGAGAGAGTCCACATGCACCCACCACCTGCTTCATTCCTGTTACAAAGTATATCAGTGTATTTTCAGGAACAGTCTTACACAAATGAGTCCTGACGACGGTGAAGTACTATAGCTTCAGAAACCTGAGAAGCAGAGACAGTTCAGTGACCTATTCCAAAACCTCGCACAGAACCCTCAGCTCAAGGTGGACATCCCATCTATAAATCCCGTGGGCCTCGGCCTTCGATTTCGGGTTTTCTCTGAGGTCCTGTATTTTGCCAAAGCCAAGGGAGGATGCAGGTGCAGGCCTGTGTGTGGCGGCTGCCTCTGCCTTTCCAGTCTGACCAGACAGCTCCCTCTAGTGGCTGTTCCGAAAAACACTCTTTAAACATCCAGCCCACCAAACGTAGGAATAAGTAATCCCAAAGACAACCTCTTTGTGAGCTCTTAGATCTCTATTAGATCCTTTTGTTGGTAATGATAATTGCTAACTTTTTGGAACACGTAATGCGTGTGGGATCCTAGATGTATTAATCTCTCACAGTTGTCTCCCCATTTTGCAAATGAGGAAACACAGGCACAGAGAAGTTACCTGAAGATCACAGAGATGAGTCATGGAGCAGGATGAATCAGAACAGCCATATTCTGGAGCCCAGGTCCCAGCATTGCCCCTTTCCCCCTTCTTAAGTCTGTACAGAGCCCGGGATGCCAACGTCACCACTTCAGTCATGTGGCCTTAAAGAGAGGGACACAACAGAATCTGCTACTAGTGCTTGGATTTCTTTGTGAGTCACCACGTTAGACGAACTCGCAGCCGCGTGCACTGCCAAAAGATGGTTCAAGGTTCTAGGCTTCAATTTGCTACTATAGAAAAAGGCGTTTTCAAGCGTTTTTTTAATTCTTCAGATTTCTCATATTCAAAATGTGAATAACACGTCATTCTTAAATTTCCCCCATAGATAATAAGTTCTGTAGAAAACTTAAATGAATCTTTGTGTTATGGAAAGACCTTCTATTAAATAAAGACCTGAAGCTACTTTTTTCCTGTTAGTTGGGAAGTTGGATTCCTGAGGTTTGAAATTATACTGCTTTGGAAGCCAGAAAGAATCAGGCTTGCATCTGGCTATGGCTCTTAGCAACTGTCTGACCTGAGAGACACTTAACACTTCTGGATTCCAGTTTCCTTATCTATAAAATGAAGGAATTTAACCAGATGAATTTTAAGCCCCCTGCTAGTTGGAATATTAGGTGTTGGGTTGTGAGAGCAAAGACATAAAAAAAAAAATAGCATAATGATTAGAAGAGTTCATGAATACCACTCCTGTGAGTATGTATCATATGGTCTACTTTTTAGATATAGATAAATTACACTCATTATTATTGAGATCCCTATGTGAAATGGCATGACTGGCTTGGGATCTCCAGTAAGGGATCTCTGGGTACAAATGAAATTCCCCCTTTTTGCTCTCTGAGCAGTTCGTGTGAACAAAGAGAAATTGGGGCACATTTTTTAGTCCTTTGGGCTGAAACACTGATGTGCACATGACCACATGTGTTCTCTTGTACACAGCAGAAACCCATAGTGTATAATATAGGTGACACATTACTTTAAAAGGAGTTTTCTCCTTTTTCTTTCTTTGTTCATTTTTTAGTTGGTTTCGTTTGTTTGGTTTTTATTAGACATCAGTTTTCTTCTTGTTCTTAATTGAGTCCTTTGAAAGGAGCAGAGCCCAGGGTCAGAAATATGTGGCTATTCATGGTTAATGTCTATAGAATGCTAGCACAAGAAGTCAGGACCAGTTTCTCCTGCAGCCGCTAACAAACAGAATCAGGCCAGGGTTGAAGCAAGGAAGAGGAGGACATTCGGGTCCGGGCCCTCCTGTAGACCGTGTACTAACTAACTCTATTTTCCTGATTTCCATGTGATCAGCTTTTATAAGGATGATTTTTAGAAGTCAAGTTAGATCAACTTTAATGACTGGAAGCAGAGAATGCATTTTTTTTTCCCAGTGCAGAATGGGAAGCATTAAAATCAAACTTAACCTGTGGTTCAAAGATAGGAAAAGAAGTCAAGAGAATCAGGCAGGCTTCAAACGTTAACGGGTCCAGGAGAGGGCGGTATCACGCATGGTTTTCTCGTGACAGCAATAGAATCCAACGCTGGCTTGGTTAAGCAGAGGGGTCTCAGAATCTTTGCAAGGGTTGCAAAACGAGGCGTTGAGCCTGTGCATCTAGGATCTAGCTGTGCCTTCGGGCACCCTCCCCGTAATGGATTAATCCTCCTGCTTCCCACTTTCAGATTCAAACTCTCACATGGGTGCACCCAGTTGGTGGAGCTCAGGGTAGGATGCCTCTCCCCTAGTGGCAAGGGAAGCTAGGAAGGTGAGCATTGACTGGGCTTCTGTAAAGAAAGCTGTCTCTACCTCCTAAGAGGTGAAGGTGGGGGATTCTTTAAACCAAAAATATTAGTTAAGTTCTTGGCAGTCTCAGCTGATGCAGGAGTTTAATGAAAAACTAATTATGAGGGTGCAGAGAACAATAAGGGAAACCAGCAAGTTCCTGAGGGCTAGCAAAAGTGGGAGGCCATTACCATCTGATGTGAAAGACAGGTAATGTTAATGAAATGTAGTGAGACTGGTAGCTGTAGGACTTGTGGTCTCATGCAGAGGAAGGCAGCCACTCCCACCTTGTGTCTTGGTATTGGGGAAGCTGGGTAAATAAATACCCTAATCCCTCTCTCTTCCTGCTTTGCAGTTTCCTGCTGGAGCCTCCCATTGACTGAGCATTTAGAAGCCAGTGGTCCAGGGAGTCTATGAGGCAGTCCATGGAGGTCAGGCTTGCAAGTATAAATCAAGGTAAGGAAAGGTAGAGATTGAGGACATGGAGGGGCAAGTGGAGGCCATCCAACACTTGGGAAGAGTGATCAAGGGTGACAGCTGCCTAACTATCACCAAGAAAAAAAAAGAGCAAAGAGAAGAAAATGTTCCTACCAAGTCGTGGGAAAGGGGCCCAGATAGAAACACGCACAGTGCTGCTGCTGGCTGTCTCCTCTTGGAGTTTCCCACACCAGCTGTCTATTTGTTGGCACACCTTATCTTTCCTGTTCTTTTACATTGGTTTCACAAAAATTGTTTTAACGGTTTCGCCTCTTCTTCTCTTAGTAAGTTTTTCCTCTTTTACATTTGCCCTAAGTCCCTTCCCCCACATTGTCTTCTCCATTACAATTTTATTAAAATGAAAAGTGCCCTGGAATGGGAGTCATGTGTCCCACGTTCTAGTCCTGGCCCAGTCTCCTTATGTTACCTCATTACGTGGTGGGAAGGGGCTAACGGCCTCCCCACTCTGCAATCTGGACTAATGTTGCCTCTTTTGTCTAGCAAAGCTTCATTTCATTTCTTTGTGCAGCCATCCAAGAAATTTACTGAGGACCCACTATGTGCCTAACAAGGTGCTTCGTATTGGTGATACAAAGAGAGGACACAGTGACCCAGCCTTCAAGAACCTTTCAGCTTACTAAGGAAGATAGATCTTGGGTAAGTGTACTTAATAGGGATACATGGTATAGAGAAGTCATAGTGCTGTGACAGGGTGCTGTGACTGCACACAGTAGGGCGAAACAGACCTTGTGTGCATATGTTGGGGGGAACCAAGAAAGACTTCCTGGAGGAAGCATGTGGGCCACATGAGGGCAGGGATTTCAGTGTGCTTTGTTCCCTACCCTACCTCCAGGGCCTAGGAGAATTCCTGGCACAGAGTAGGCACCTAGTGAATACTGTGGAAGGAACAAGTGAATGCAGTGAAGTTTAGACTGAGACCTGAGGGATGGATATGAGCGGTTCTAGTGAAGCAGCAAGCAGGACAGTAGGGAATGAATAAGCAGCCTGATAACAGTCCTAAGACAAGAGAGACAAGGCTGGCGTGGGACAGGGAGGGGACAGTGTGGCCCAGGATGATACCAGGGAGGAGACAGGCTTTAGGGTATGTTGAGAATTTGACTGTATTCTTAGAGAATGGGAAACCAATGAATCATTGAAGGAAGAAATAGACTGGAGTAGGAGTTGGTTTGAGTAATCATGAAGACATAGTCTCTATCCTCTATAAACTAACAAGGATTTATGGACATCTACATTTGGCATGATGCTGGGATCAATAATCTGAGTGCCATGGAATGAATCCTAAATTACAGGGATGGAGAGAAGATATCCTGGCATGATGGTGATGGCTCCACAGCAGGAGGTCGATGTAGGAAGGGAAGAGGAAGGGATTTCTTCTTTTTTAAAAGGCAACATTTGCAAAGATCTTAGGAAAAGGGAAATTTCAGCAGGTTAAAGGGAGGACCTTCCATGGGGCGCCTGGGTGGCTCAGTCGGTTAAGCGGCCGACTTCAGCTCAGGTCACGATCTCATGGTCTGTGAGTTCGAGCCCCGCATCGGGCTCTGGGCTGATGGCTCAGAGCCTGGAGGCTGCTTCCGATTCTGTGTCTCCCTCTCTCTGCCCCTCCCCCGTTCATGCTCTGTCTCTCTCTGTCTCAAAAATAAATAAATGTTAGAAAAAAATTTAAAAAAAAAAAAAAAAAGGGAGGACCTTCCAGA